GCAGGAATGGGACTAGCATGGAGAGGCCTCATGTTCATGAAGACTTGCTGATCCAAAGCAAATGCAAGGCAGCTCCTTTCCCTTTCCTCCAAGTGCCCAAGAAAACTGTTCTGCTCCCCTGCTGACCCCTCAGTCCCCAAGCTGAGGGGCACTTGACCCTCTCAGATCAGTGCATTCGAGTCAAGCTCTTGCAGCAGCAGTTTGGTGAGAAATGGTTTGTCCTTTGCACAGTGCCAGGCTCTTCAGGTAGCTCACAAAGCAGTTCCTGGGACACTGGTCAGGCAGTGCTCACATGTCACCTTCTACAGGTGACAACAGGGTGTCATTGGTGGGTGCAGCCCCACATCCCACTCCTCTTCCCATTCTAGCCAGCTGCCTTCATCCTACCAGAGAAGGAGAGGTCCTGGGTAGTGCTGTGGGCAGGAGAAGCTGCCACAGGAGGTCACAGAGGCCCTGGAGCTGCTGGGCTCCCTTCAGAGATGTCACAGGCGAGGACACATCCAGCACCACCCTGCCTGCAGCCCCCACCTCTGGGCCTCTGCACTGCTTCTTGACTCCTGCCTGTGTACCCCTTGCTTGAAGCCCCCTCTGTGGTGCCCACAGCCTCCCTGCTCTGTGCACACACACACACCCCCCTTCCCTTTTGCTCCTCAGCACTGGTGGGGCTGCAGAAGCAGCACGTGCCCTGTCACCCCCCATTTCCTCACCTCTGCTGGTGAGGACGCTCAGCATCTGCCAGGATGGGACCTGCAGGCACCCCCCTGCTGGCCTTGCTGCTGGGCACAGGCCTCGGGGGGCGTGGGGGGCCTGACCAACAAGGCCCCACAGTTGGAAAAGTGACCTTTATTTTAAAAAAACAACCCCCCGAAATATTCTGCAATAACCCCCCCGTGATAACTTCTCACAACGCTCCTGTGCTGTCCATGTTGCCCCCTGAGAGGGGTGCAGGCAGGGGTTGGGGGGGGACGTGCAGCAGCTTCCCCTGCTCCTCCCGCAGCCGGGAGGGCATCGCCCAGCTGGTAACGTCCTGCTGGAGGGGGCGCTGTCTCCCACGGCAGCCTCTGCTCTGGCTATAGGGGGTGGGGCTGTGCTCCAACCCCCTGTGCCTCCCGCTCCAGGGAGTGGGGGCTGCCCTCTCCCCACGGTGATGGGGCAGCAAGGTGCTGGAGAGCATGGGAGGAGGTGGTCCCAGGGCAGGGCTGGCACGGAGCATCCTTTGCCAGGAGCACAGCGGTGCCACGGGAGAGGAGCTCGGAGCTGCTAAGGTGAAGTCCCTCCCTTAGGAGGAAAAACAGACCCCAAAAAGACAAAGGACTGGCCGTGGGTAATGGGGAGGTGCAGAGTCAGTCCTCCTCTGGGCTACACCAGCCCTGCTGCCTTCTCCTGCACGTTATACTCCTTACTCCTCTTCACCTTCCAGCTGATGAGGGCCAGGAGGACGGTGCCCACCACCTTGTAGCCCACTTGCAGCCCCAGGTATCTGTCGAGAGAAGAGCAGGGAGACGCCGTGTCTGGAGGGGGTGGAACCTCCAGGCAGCAGCAGGCTGAGCTGGGGAACACCCCCTCCTGGTGCCCGGGGAGGCCGAGGGGGGCACAGGTGGGGGGTACCTGTTGCGGAGGAAGTCGTTGTTGTAGTAGACGCAGAAGCGGCGCTGGGTGCACTGCTGCTGGCAGTAGATGCAGGAGGGGTCGATGAGGGCCCCAAATACGGCTGTGCTTTGGAGAGGAGAGGGTGGAGTCAGGCTGGCAGCCCCTGCCCTTTGCCTGCCGGCCTCAAGGAGGTTTAACACCACCTGGGGCTCAGGCGAGCCTCCCAGCTCCCTGCTGCCTTCACCCAGCCCCACGGCATGGACACTCACCCAGTAGCCTCATTAGTAAGAACTGGACTCCGATGGCAAAGGACTTCTCATCCTGGTTCACCACCCTGCAGGGAGAAGAGGAGCCCTGGGGGGTCAGTGGGGCTGCTCCTCTCAGCCCCATCCCACGCTTGAGGCCCTGCTAGCCCCAGCACGGGGAGCCCCTCACACCCCGCTCCCCCCAGGGCCCGCTGCTCACCGTAGCACCATCATGTAGAGGGGGTTGTGGGACAGGCAGGCCACCAGGGCTGCAAAGGAGATGAGCAGGATGGCAGGAAGGAGCATGTCAGAGCAGCTGAGGGGACAGGAGCCCGCCCTGGCAGAGGACAGCCCGTTCCCAGCAGGGATCAGGGAACAGTTCTTGTAGATCTGTTGGGGGAAAAAAAAAAACCAATGTCCAACTCTCAATGCCAAGTGCAGGGTTTATGGTGCCAGACCAGACCCCATCACTCTGCAGAAGACTGATGGGAGGGTCAGCTGCAATCCTAAAGCACCACCATCCTGCAATGGGCTGTGCCACTGTTCCCATTTCTCCAAGCAGACTCTCAGGACATTTTCCTTTGCACCTTTTTGAGCATCTCTGGTAGATCTCCTCGCTCACTCCATCAAAAAGACTCTACCACACTTGCCTTTTTTTCTAGCAGCAAGCGAGGCACCCTCTGCTCTGCAAACCACTACGTTGTACTCACCACTTGTTTGGGAGTGGAAGAATTAGCAGTGCTGTTCACACAGCCAGCAAAGCAAGGGGAGATGTACTCCACGTCGTTTTCTCCACACACTGGGTGAAAGATGTGCTCAGAGCAGTGGCACCCACTCAGCTTCTTAACCTGCAGCCGGGAACTCGATGTACTGCCAAAAAAAGAAGGAGGGAGAAAAAAAAAAAGAAATTAAAACTTAAGAAATAGGACAGGAGGAAGGAAAAAAAATATCCCTGTTATTAGTTATTAGCCAGTTCCCCATTCCTGTGTGCTGGGCTAGTGCCAGGAGCAGGCTGGCCCCAGGCCAGCCCCTGAGCCCCTGCAGGTCCCTCTGGGAGCACACGGCGAACGTCGCCGTGATCGTGTCTGCAGACAAGTACTCACACACTTCGTGGGTTTTTTTTTCTCCCTCCCCCTGCTGAAAACTCATCAGCCAAATGCCCGGAGAAATCTCTCTGGGCTCCATCCAGAGCTGCACAAACAGATGTGCAAACAGCCCCAGCTGGAAACATCATTCAGACAGCAAGAAGAAGCGGGCTGGTTTCCAGGACAAGCCTGACGACAGCGTGGAAGTCAAGAGTACACACCAGAAGATCTGTCCTGTCTTGCCTCACCACCTAAGGGAGTGCATCTGCTGGAGTGACCCAGTTGTCTCCTCTGGGACCACATCATCTCCTGTAGGAAGCTCTCCTCGGGTATGGTGGGGTGGGGCAGAGCTTGTGTTTGCCCAGCCAGGTAGCCCACAGCTACCCAGAGATGCAGGCAAAAGGCATCTGTGCCCTGCTGCCATTGCACGGGGGAAGGTTCCCAAAATAACAGAGGCCAACAGCCTCACTTTTCCATGCAAGTCCTCTCAGGAGCTCCTGCTACTTCAGCAAAGCCCATCAAGACTGGTGTGTCCCAGAGGAACCAAGACAGCCAGTCCACCTGATGCTGGCAGCAAGAGGTGAATGCCATGAGGCCAAAGTGCCCCCCCCAAAATCTGCAGCACCTGATCTTGAGCTGAGGGAGCTCTTCATCTGAAGCCTTGCTCTCACACAGAAAGCTTGAGATGCCAACAGGGTGGCAATGTCTAGAGCCTCTTTCCCCTCCACCAGCAAGTGTCCCACCCCATGGACAATCAGCTGGCGAGCTGGAGAAACACAGAGCTGGAAACACCCCAAGTGCTTGTGTTACCTGGGGGGGTAGATCCCATGAATGTGCCCCGTGGAGCAGCCCATGAAGAAGATGGGCAGGCAGATGAGGATGGAGAACACAAGCACCACCACAGCAAAGCGGGGGATGGCCCGCAGGGAGAAGGCGAAACGCTTCATGAGGATTCCTCCCAGGAGCATCCCAAGTGCTGCTGCTGGCAGATTCACAGCTCCTGCAGCAGAACAAAAGCATTCCCTGGGATCCTGCCTGCTAAGGGGAGTGGCTTTGGGGACCTTGTTGGGTTGGCAGAACTCACAGACCCCCACCGTGACCCAAGAGGGACCAAAACCCAAAGCAGTTGGTGTCTATGGGGAACCTCAGCCTCAGGAGTCTGGCTTAGAGGTGCAAGATCCAGCCCTGGGGTGTCATCACTTGCTCTTACCCCTTTCTTTAGGCATTAGAGTGACCCAGACCTGCTTCACTCATGTGGCAGAGCTGCTTGTTTTCAATAAGAGAGGTTGCTGCCCTGCAAGAGGGAGCTTTCAAATGGAGACAGTCTTTGAGAGGCTGCAAGACAGCTTGGCCTTCTGCAGGCATCTCAGGTCAGGAAAGTCATTAACCATGTCAAGGTAATCCCTCTGGAAACGAGTTCCCAAGGGCTTCCTCCTGCAGGATTTAGAAAGCTTGGGGAAAACAGGCAGGTGGCTGCCCAGTCGTGCTCACCTATGAGAAAGTTGGCATAGGAGGAGGAGGCACCGTATTGCTTCTCCAGGAACTTGTTGAGGAAAGTGGCCAGACCTGCAATGACTGAGGAGAAGCTGCACTGAGCTAGCACCAGGAGGATGAAGAGGGGGTTGAGGAGCAGCCTGAGGAAGATCTTTGGGAATCCTACAGGGAAACAGTAAGAAGAATGTATTTTAGCCATGTCATCCTCACAGCAGCAATTCGTCCTCTGAAAAACAAGAAACCACCCTTGGCCTGTTCCCAGTGAGCTAATACAGGGGATGTCCAAGGTCATGGGAAGGAGGAAGGGGAGACGCCCTAATGCAGCCCAGCAGCTCTGCAGTGACCTCCTCAAAGAGGTGGCACCAGCAGCCCCATGCCTTCTCCTGGAGCTGTGGGTTACAGCTCCCAGCCAGCATTTTCCAGTGTGCTCGTGCCACTTCAAACCCTCAAAAACCATGTTCAGAGCTGATGCAGGCACCTCAACACTGCTGCCTTAGAGCAAGCAGGAGGTTGTGTCTCTTCTCCTGTGGCCCCTGGGGAAGGGCATGCCCTGGAGGTGCCTGGGCTGGCCCTGGAGCTCCACGCAGCACGGCGGGCAGGCTTAAAAGCTCCCAGCAAGCACCCTCAGCTTGCAATGCCAGCGTGGTGGTCCTCACCCACCCACCCTGCCCCAGCACCCTCATCTTTAAGTGCCTTTACTTTTTATGAACTCCAGGAGGGAGGTTTCTTCAGCCAGGCCATTCTCCATCTTCCTGAGCATGCCAGCCTCCGCGTGCGGGTCCTGGGGTGGGAGAGAAGAGCAGCCTGGGGTCAGAGGGGACCATCCCTGCGTGCCTGGCACTGTCCCAGCACACAACGAGGCCCAGGAGGAGCAGGGTCTGTCCCAGATGTCTGACCC